ACTGTTACACAATGTACTATTAAATTTATTCAGCAATTGACCAGCAAAAATCAGAAATCATGGAAAGAAGAGATTTTCCTTTGTATCGACATTCCATCTGCATGATTTGTTGATAAAATTTTTGACCTTGTTCGTCTGACTCTGTAGCAAGCTGCTTTTCAAAGAATTGAAGGTGGTGATGTAAAAAATAGATTTTCAATGACATATGAACACCGATATTCTTAAAAGCGGTCATCATATCATCTACTAATATACGGTAGTTTTCAACTTGATGTTTCCCGAGAAAATTTGAAATCACAATTAATCACTTCGCTGGCGTGACGCCTTTTTTGGCGTCACGCGTAACCTGGCCCAAACTGGCGAGAATGACGGAAATGGCGTCAAAACTTATTCTCATTTATTAAAGTCTGTGAGTAGTTTTTATCTATAGTAACATGGTGTTCTTATAGTTTTGAGTTCAGGGAACACGAATATGATAGTAAGAACTCAATATTTTCCAGTTTTCAAGGTTTTACAGGACGTCGAATATCAACAACTTTCAATACTTTTCTGCGAATGGCGTCAAACGTTTTCGCAGTTATTACGCTACAAACACTGTTGTTTTTCTTTAAATAGTAATATTTACACAATCTTATGTTTAAATAGGTAGTTATTATGTTGTAGTAAAAGTTGAAATAACTGAATTTTTGAATGTTCATAAAAAATTAGATTTTACTATTAAATAATTACTTTTACTACAACATCATAACTACCTATTTAAACATAAGATTGTGTAAATATTACTATTTAAAGAAAAACAACAGTGTTTGTAGCCTAATAACTGCGAAAACGTTTGACGCCATTCGCAGAAAAGTATTGAAAGTTGTTGATATTCGACGTCCTGTAAAACCTTGAAAACCGGAAAATATTGAGTTCTTACTATCATATTCGTGTTCCCTGAACTCAAAACTATAAGAACACCATGTTACTATAGATAAAAACTACTCACAGACTTTAATAAATGAGAATAAGTTTTGACGCCATTTCCGTCATTCTCGCCAGTTTGGGCCAGGTTACGCGTGACGCCAAAAAAGGCGTCACGCCAGCGAAGTGGTTAACATTCTTACGTTTATCTAACGCATTATAAAGTGATACTGGTGCGTGCGAAAGTTTTGATGCCTGGGCCGGGATTCTCTAAACGTTTTATCGATGATTGTCGCTATCGGTAACTAGCGACAGCCAATGGCAGGACAATCCTAAAAGAAAGCGCGGCTCTCATTGGCTGTCGCTAGTTAACGATAGCGACAATCATCGATAAAACGTTTAGAGAATCCCGGCCCTGATATGAAATGAACACATATATTTGAATACTATCTAATGCTATCTCATGTATTTGCAAAACGAAGTTCGCGCTCGCGCGCATAAGTGTGAGCGTGAGTATGTGTATGTATGTGTGTGTACGTATTTGTGATAATATTTGATCTCAAAACCTTGAGAATAGCGCAACTGGTACTCTTCGAAATTAAGGGGTTATATTGCGACCGACATACGAGTATGCCCGTCCGCCTCCTTCGGACCCTTGAGGTTGCCCTCTAGAGGTATTAGTATTAAGATCTAGCTGCATAATGGCGCATAATCATTATTAGTTGTTACGTTATTAGGATAGGGGCCCGTTGGCCATTTAGTTTTTTTTTCTTTAGCCGCATAATGGCGACAGGCTGTGTGCCTTATCGATAGCCGACAAGGCAAGTTTCTTTATTATTTTACTAACCGTTGGTAATGATGGAAATTAGTTAATTTCGTTTAGGGTGAAGTCATTTACCCGCAAGAAAAGTTTAAGAGATATACCAAGGTCTCCCTTGGTATATTTGCTCTATGGCAAGACATAGAGATTGATATGTGCCATTTTGCAGATCTCGGTAACGCTAGGAGCGATTGAGATGATATTTAGCATAGGTTATGCTTTTATATTCATTTAAACGTATGCCAAAGCGCATACTCGTGGGACTACGGGAACCCATAGATGTATTGAATTTCAGAATATTGCGAAAACGCATGGTGCGATCGTGATACAACGTTATGGATCTTATAGAATAATGTTGGTAAAGATTTATGTTAAAGGATGAAATTGTATTTTATAATTAATTATCCCCAATTAAGCAATAAAAAGATATTGTACAATTGCGCGTGCATGAAGTGCTGGTCCCGCGTAGCAAGTAAGGCGCATGCGTTACCCGAAGTAATATAAGCAGAGGTTCGATGCGCGCAAGAGGAGTTGGAGTTGAAGTGAACAGTCGCAGTCGGTTAGGGTCAGTCAGAGTCGAGTAAGAGTTACAGATAGTTAGTTGGGAGATTCGAGAGTCAGTCAGTAGACGTAGTCACGACAATAGACTTCTTAAACGGATTGAAGGCGGTATAATCGCGCACGGTACACATGTAATAACCGCGAACTGGCAAGCGAGTAATCTCGGGAAAATCGATATCTTCATCGACCAGTGTTCGCGGTCCCTTATGCGGACAAGTTGTAACTTCGCACTTAGAGAAGACATCACGGTTTGAATCCAATATACGAATCAACTATCCTGAAAATAGGCAAACCGAAGTGTGTTCCGGTTATCATATTTCATAGTGACTGTTATTTGTTAATATATTTGACTTGTGTTTTACAATAAAGAGCTGTTTTGTTGTAAATGAGAGTTGGTCTATATCACACACAATTATCCTATCAGCGAACCTTCGTTCTTGGAGGTCAAAAAACGTGGCGACCGAATAAGCTGAACGAGCAGACGAGGACCGAGACCGAAGAGACAGATTGTCCGGTCACAATATACACTCGTGTTGGTCGAAAAAAATGCATTTTTTTTAAATTGCATATTCTTTAAGTACATAGCTTCGAGAAAACTCTCACCAAATTTTGCAACGATCGGAGCATTAGTTTCAAAGATATAGCTATATATAGCGCACTACCTGCGACGTTGCCGTTGTGTCTTACCACAAGAAACGGAAGAATGGCTCGAAGACAGCAACAAATCGATGTTCTGGAGGCTGCAGAGGATGCAGAAGTTATACAATATGGTCCCGGAATTGACAACTCGATGTAAGTTTAAATAAATTAATTTCAAACATGAAAGAAGCTAAGTTGAAACTAACGTGATTATCTCGAAATTGTGTTTTTTCGAAAATGCCTTTGCGGTGGACACGATTAATAAAAAACTATCAATCCGATCAATGCGAAATTTGAACCACTTATTTATTATAATAATAGGTAGTAGATAAACGAAGGATTTTTAGTTTAATCAAAAACTTTTTTTTACGGCAAAAAACTTGAAAATTTAACACCTTGAAAAATGAACTTTTTGTTTAAACCGTCGCCATTTTTTAATAATTAAAATTTTGATAAATCCTTCGTTCATCTACTAGATAATATAATATACTAACGAAATCTTTTTACATTTTGATTTCAGATGATTCGTTCTCGAGTAATCTTATCCATCGCAAGTGATGCTGAATACTAGGCGCTCCAAGACAACAGCTGCAGTTCCGCCATTTTAAAATATTTTTTAACAAAAAAAATTTGACATGTACTCCAAAACATGTACTAAATGATACCATTAATAGTTTAGAATAAATTTTTATTTTGCTGTCAAAAAAAATATCGTGAAAATGTCGTCATTTTTCGTACTGCAAGTGTATATAATCCCTTAATAACTTCAAATTTATGCCCCATTCTTCTACGATTTAACTTTACCAAATCTCTTGGGAAAATGATGGTGGGCCGTGTTCCCGACACAACCAAACCCACGCACTCTTTGGAAAATTTTAAAAGTTG